GGTGAGTTTCGCCGGTACCGAGGTGTACGGGTACACCTGTCATCGTTATTTTCACACGTGACAGATGTAACTTTGGACACCGATCGAAGTGACAATCCATTTTACGCGGATCCCAACCCGATTTTCCCAGGACGTGGAAAAGTAATCCCGCGGTGGACGGCGGAGATCCGAGCGATCCCGGTCCCGGGATAATGTCGTTAATAATAACCAGAGTGGTCGGCGGGAAGTTATTCGATCCTGGTCGAAATAGGGCGACGTGAACCAAGCGGGAGCCGCGTTTCCGGTGGTAGGCAGTTTCCAATCAGCTTGGGCGTAACAGCCAGTTACGAGAGCGGGTGCGACAACTGAGCCCCGTTGCAATTATATACGTCGCGGCCGCACGCGTGCGAGCTAGCGAGTCCGCGTGCACAATGGAAATTCGCCAGACTGTTTGAAATTCGAATTACCGCACGGGTATCTTGGCGCGCTGGCGTCAGCAACAAATAGCTGCTATCAGTGGGGATGCACGCGGCGAGCGGCACGCACGGCGCGAACGCCGCGGACGGCACGCACGCGGCCATCGATCGGCCCTCGACGATCCTCGGAACGATCGCGCACATTTTGCGCGGATTCGGTTTGGCTAATCCTTCTCGATACTTTTTGGATCTTTAAGGTGATATGAAAGTCTGATATATATGTTACCGTGAATGACCGAAATTGGAGAATGTCGACTTGAATGTCAACAGATACGTCGGTGAAAGATCGAATATTTCATTACATTGTTGTACATTCGGACCCTCTCATCACACACCGGTGAATGTCAACATTTACCGGTGTAAGTCAGAAATAAGGGTATTTAGCAAATATTTCGGACATACACGAAGCGACTATGTGAATGTTGACATTCACCGGTGAAAGTCGACATTCTTCAGATTTCGGTGTTTCACTGTAACATATACATTAGAAAAAATCAAAATATTTATAAATCTTTTCTCCAAACTGGGTGGACCGAATTATATGACACTTTGACACGTGATTGTGGAGGCCCTAAGGAATAACGCGCTGCTGGTGAAATTTCCTTTTTCGAAAAAGGTGTTGTACTTATCTCGGACAAAAATCAGAAACAGATTTTTTTTTTCGAAATATAAAATTTGACCGGCAGTGGGTTCTTCCTTAGAGCCTCATTAATCACGTGTTGAAGTCTTAGATAATTTGGTGCACCCCATTTGAACGGGATTTTCTGGATAACTAATTTTAGATCGCTGTTCTTCAGATCAGTCTTTCGCAAATTCTTGTTCTCGAGGTCGGAATTTTTCAGATCGCCATTTTCCGAGGAGCGGTTAAGGTCGTTTCCGAGAAGGATGTCTGCTTCCGGTAGCCAGACACCTCGAGGACGGTCTAGCGGAAACGGAGGCGCGCCGAGGCGTCGCCGAAAACCCGGCCGTTATACGACGGGGGTTCCCTCGTTGTAAAACGCCGGCGTAAATTCCCCATCTACCGGAGGGCGCGGAATCCTGGCGCCGGGGCGGAAACCGCCGTGTTTATGCCGGCAATTAACGGAAGTTCGTCCGTTCCGCGGCGGATCGTCGTCGCGGCCGGCCGTTATTGGCCGTTTAACGGCGGCGAGAAATGGCCCCCGGGACCCGAAAAACCCGCTTCGAATAGCCGAAATTCACCGCCCCATTCGGACGCGTGAATTATTCCGATCGATCGTCGACTTTCCGGGAGACCGTCGAATGATCAGCTATTTCGTCCGGTATTTTTATGTATGCGCAAAGTCCAAGATGGCCGACGTTACTTGAGGGTATCCGGCATCGCCGGTGGATGGGGCGGAGGAGTTCCTCGACAAGGGATAAGTTTTCGAAGAAGCTCTCGGCTTCCGTCGAGGTTTTAATTCCGCGGCTTCTAATAAAGTGCGGTAATATTTGAGGTAAAAAGAGAGGGTCTGGGCAATCGTTTAACTTCGTTTAACTTGGTGATTCCGAGCCGGGCCGAGAGGGGGCCCCGAGAGCCACGTTCGGGAAAATCTCTCTCGAGACAAGGGAGAGATCGATTCGGGAAAAAGAGCGGCGCCGTCTCCTCGGTATCGGAAGTTCAATATTTGATCTGGAGCTTTTCCGCCAGGGGGCGGAAGTTAGCGGCGGCGCCCGATCTAGCGCGGCCAGAAGAACCTCGCTTCCGATGTTTTCGGCCAACTTCGGTTTCGGCTGACTCGGGGAAAACGCGGCGAGAACTCGCGAGGGAGATGGGAAAGAAAATTAGATATCGCCCGGAGACTCGAGAATAGTTTATCAGCCTCGGGACGAGTTCCCTTTCGCCGCGGCCTTAATAAGATTACCCGCAAACGAGTCGCCGAAGGAGACGGAGATCAGAAACCTCCCATCATTGTACAAATAAATACGGCCGAAGGAAGTTTCAGGGTGCGTTTTTCGCGTTTCCCAATTTAAACGCACGCCAGGGAAAAAGGGACACGCCGAAATGGAGGATAGCTGGACACGCACAACAAATGGACAGGGAAATAAAAAAGTGGGACGCGCGCGGAAATGGCGAGAAATTCCCGCGCGAGTAAACGTATAACTTTATCGCTCGGCGATCCGTAATAAAGCGCGCCCCTTCCACGCTCGCTCGTTGGGAAACAAAAAGCATTGTTTTTAATTATCTGAAATAACGAGACGATCGCTTTTTGTAAGAAGTTTAACGCGGTTACGCGGTGTCCGTTATCCGCGTTTAAATGCTCACCCGCTGCCGCGCTTCCTTGTCGGTTTGTGCTTTTCCAGCCTTTACAAATGTTGGGACAATTTAAATACATTTGGAAAATAGAAGAAAAGAGGAGAGAAAGAGGGACGTAAAAGCGGGAAAAACAAGAGGAACCCGGGTATCTGGTCAGAGCATGGAGGTAAAACGACTTTACTGCCGGTATTAACTCTTTTTTCCCCGGAATCGCCCCCGTTTCTCGATTGTTTAAAAATCGCCGACGGTCACATCGCGATTTCTCCATGAAATAAAACACAGGCATTCACAGCGAGGGATTGACTCCAATACTCGGCGGGAAGGAGAAAATGGAGGAACTTGGACAAGGACGCGTCACAAAACGGGCAAAAAGGGGTGAATGGGCAGTGGGATGAAATTCTGTTAAAAAAGAAAGGAGGGGGGAGGAGAATCACGTGGAACAGATTCAACAAAGCCACATTAATATCCATTATGTCCAGGTCCTCCCGTTCTCCGTTGCGTTCACCTTGTCCGGTCTCTCTTTAACGGGTCTCGTTGCAAATGTAGGGACCATTTAAATACGCCGCATAAAGGGAAAAGAAACGAGGGAAAGGGGGACACATATACTTCGGCAGGGGGTAAAGAGAAAAGTTGGGTAGATGGACATTGGGTAGGAGCCCCGGGCGGACGCAAGGATAATTGCTTGGCGAGTCGTTCGTGCGCGAATCTTTCTGATATAAACCGGCTCTTCTGATTGCGAGCGCGGTTTTCTGCAAAAACTGGATTACCGGTTAAGACCATTGCGGCTTAAGTGGCGGGGAGGGATTGGACGACGTCGGCGATCCTCTTGTAATCGACGAATCGTTGACAACCGTCGTGGATTTTCCGCCTTTCGGGTGGACCTCGGCATCCTCGACAACTCTTCGATTTCCGGCCATTCGCGGCCGATTTCCTCCTGGCTGGCAGCGATGGCGACGGCGTCGTCCTTCGTCCTTCGATTTCCATGACAACGGGCTCTCGCTTGAATGCGCGTCGTTTAGGAGCAATCGACCTCTGCATATTCATCGTCAGGAGCGCCGCGGCCGGTAATGCCCTTCGTCAAGACGACGATCAGCCTCGCGGAGGCAAACGCGTTTTGACGTCGGTCCATCGTCCCCCTAAATGGGGCCGCGCCCGAAACGCTCCTCTCCTATTTTCTGCCCACGTGCATCGAACGCCAGAAACAACTTAACCTAACGAAAAATATGAAAGAACCACAACACGGTTTTTTTCCTTCAAACTTTTATTAATATCCTCCTTAGCCTTAACCCTTGAGGATGACGCGTTTTGACGTTCTTCCTTCCTCTAGACTGGTCGAACGAAACTCGCTTCCCTTGTGTCTCCACCGCTTGGAGGTTAGGATCAACTGGAAACAATCGAGGTTAATATCGGGTTTCTACCGGTTGGAGATACTTGCGAGAAATTTTTCCTCCGCTTAACCCGAACTGGTATTCGTTGCTTCTCTTATGTCGGACCACCCAGAGGGTCGTGTCGAAAAACTGATGTTCCGATTTGGCAGAAGTGACTGCGCCCTGCCGGACGTGATAAGTGGAACCACGTGCAGCGCCATCTTGATGGTATCAAAACCGGCGCCATGTTCCCTCAGAGCGGAAGTGCGTGCCGCGCGTCTAACGCGATGCCAACCGCGTCTCTGGCACTGAAACGGCTGCCTGTACGAATTATACCGTTTACTCGGTTATTTCAGATTTCGGAGAAGTTAGAATACGTACCTATGTGTGGCGACGCGCGTCGATATCGACGCCATCTCGATTGGGGAACGGAAGTGCGCGGGGCAAGCCTGACGCGACGTCCGCCGCTTCTCGGCGTCGCTCCCGGAATGGCTACCGCACCGATCGAGAGCGCTATCGGCGCGCGATCCGCCGCGGCGCTCAATGCACCTCGTTAAAGCCGCCATTAATCACGCTCGCCGCGCACAATAAGCGCAATTGAGAAAAAGATGCAGGCGGACCCGCAGAGCCGGATAAATCGCGAGATCCAATGCGTAGATAGGCTGCATGCGTGATCGATACCAGAGATGAGTTGGGAGATTGCTCACGGGCAGGGTCGCGTGATCGCGTCTTGTGCTGCCCCCGGTGGAGGATGCGGACGTCTAACGTACTTGCCACCAGAAACCCCCAATGTCAGCCCAATTCAGGTAACCTCCTCATCTCTCCTCCCAACTCACCTCTGTGATAAAAAACATCATTTAACATCTTTTAACAAGTACTGCAAGATCTGCGACGAAGAACTACCCTACAACTAGAGGAAGGAAATTCCCCGAAAAATTTCGATTTATTCGCTATTAAAGCTCCTACATCGAAGTAATCCGAAATCGGATGCTCAGAGTTTGAGAATTAGACGACGGATTTCAATTGTTTGCGGTCTGGCAATTCATAGGCATAAGGTGGTTCGTCGTCCTCGGTGACCCATATTGCGCCATTTTTTCCTCTTTCGCATAGTTGGACTGCCGCTTCTGCCACGGTCTTCGGTCTGAAAATATATGGTACATGATACGGAGCAGCGTCGAAATGTCCTCTGCCGGTGTTAATGCATTAATCCGGTTTGGGCAGCACTTACTTCTGCAGGTACTGGGAATTAAGATTTTCTCGTATTTTGTTTACATTCAATACGTCCAGTTGATTAATGGTTATGTCTGACAGAATGGGCGAGCTCGTGAATCCAGGACATAGAGTCAAAATGCGAACACCTCGCGATCCCGTGTTTTCCTGAAATGGATGCGGACTCTTTTATAAATCAATGTTTACGATGCTTGATTTACAGGTTATGTTCGTATCGCGTGTAACGAACTTACAGCCAAAGCTGTACCAAAGCCAACCACTGCACATTTCGTGCTGCTGTATGCAGGTAGAATCGGAAGTGGGTTCAACCCGGTTATGGATGCCATGTTAATGATAGCACCTCCTTTGGCTCCTATATGGGAGCCCATGTGATTCAGAGCCATCAACGTTCCGTGTATTAAGCCCCCCTTTGAAGAAAACGAACAATCTGTTATCGTGGACTTGTCGAAATCTCTTTCTGACGGATAAATCTCACTTACGATATTGATTAAGACCATTTCTTTGAAACCGGCTTCGTTCACTACACCGGCGTTGTTCACGAAGACGTCTATTTTGCCGAAGGCTGCGACGACTTTGTCGAAACTTGCTGGAAATGGAAATCCCTCGCTCTGATTATCATTCCATACATTAAATCCGAAGAATAGATTCTGGTAAAAATGGTACCTTTAAATTCATCGGAATTCGCTACGTCGCATTCAACGTATATTGCTCGTCCTTTGCCGTACTTGTTGAGCAACTTTTCGGTTGCTTCCTTCCCGTGTGCTCCTTTTATTTCCATAACGGCGACTGACTGATTATGAGAAATTTATCACAGGGGCATTAATCGATATTGGCCAGGGGAGTTGGAATTCTTACCTTGGCACCTTTTGACAGAAATTCTTCCGCCATTGCGAAACCAATTGCACCTGCTGCACCGGTGATGGCGACGGTTTTGCCATTGATGTCCATTTTGCGGGGTGAAGTTGTAGTAAAATATTCCTCCTAGTAATTCCCGCTGCACGTGTGTCGTCCTTTCTACTGGCAGGATAATTCAATTAGGATTGAACGGAGAAATTTCATATTTAACGTAGTTATTATAGTTTGGATCGATAATTTGGTTAGGGTTTAATGGAGGAATTTCGCATGTAACGAAATTAGGACGGTTTAGCAGGAGATGAACCTCGTCGTATCTTCCTAAGCAGCTAGCTCTATCGAGGGTCGCAAAAAGTCAGTCACTTTAGGGGTTAATTTCATCAAAGTATATTCCCACTTACCGTTTATTCGCTTCTAGTCCCACTTCCGGTGAAAAAAAAATCGGGCACTTGTCTTTTGGCACTAGACTCCAGAAAATGGTAGTACATTCCCAGTCGACACTCGAGAACCGAGTAACCAAGAAAGCTCGAGCAGGCACTTAGATTCGATATTAAATAAGACTCTGTTATTCTGTATTCACTGATTCCCCTTATTTATACCCAATACGAATAACTGCAATGACGCGATAGTATATGTATGACTTGCATCCAGGAATATTAATCTGCCAGAAGTAAGTCACATTTCTGAAAGTAATGACCAGCAATTACGGAGGTGTGCCGAGCAAACACATTGACCAATAATCGTTTCTTAATATGTATATAAAGTAGATAACAAGCGAGTAAGCAGAGGAAAAGAAATCTTATCATTAAGAACACTCATAAAGGTCATAAGTGACACAAGCATAAATTAATTCATACAAAAATGATTGCAATCCCTGCGTTTTTGCAATCATGTTTGCGCGGTCGGAGTGTTTAAGTCCACTATTCGTTTCTTGCGTCGGGAGGAACAGCAGGGAACTGATATCTTCGAGAAACGGCGACCTCGAGACTCCCAGAGGAGGCGAATCTGGAAAGACGAAGGAAGGAGGTAACGCGGGAAGAACGGGATGCGCGTCCTCCGGGAGTAGGACGTCCTCGGGATCAATGTTCGACGGGTAAATTGGAGGAAGGTGAAATTGAATTGGGAACCGTCGGTGTAATTGGCTCGAATCAAGGCACGTAGCCCCTCCACCCCGGCGGGGGGGCGCAGGGCCGCGATAAGGAACGATTAGGAGGAGGTTGCGGGCGGGGGGAAAATCCCAGGTAGTAAGGTGGATGGATGGATAGATCTCTCCCGCGCTCTCTTTTCCGGCCGCGAAGAGCGAGGCAGGAAGAATTTCATGCTCTGCCAAGCGGGAGACTCTACTCGAGGGATTACCTTCAATTGATCCGACTCCCTCGGCCGACCCTCTTCCGTCGCCGACCCCTTCTTCGTCTTCGACTTCGCCCTCTAGTCGCGGCATTGTTCGCGCCGCGCTCGAAACCAATACCAGGAAATACATCGTTAGAGGCCCCGCCGGAAGGAAGGAAGTACCCACGCGACATGGTAACGACTTTGGCCAGTTAAGGTCCTTTGTGTCCATGGAAGGATTCCTCCAAGTTGCGACACCAACTCAAAGAAGAGAAAAAAAAAACCCCTAGAAAGGGACGAATACGTTTAAAACCCTTTCATCCGCGGTATTAAGGTGACATGAAAGGTCCTGACACCCATGAAATTTTAATGTTTTAACATTTGATTATAGATGTTTCCATAATTCTTTATAAAACATCAAATTGGGTGGCAGGACCTTCCTCATAGCCTCCGTATTCACCCTGTAAAGTTCGAAAGGATTCGGTAAACCCAGTTTGGAGAAAAGCTGATCTCTGAGAGTTGTTCCGTATCACCTTAAGTCCCGGTGTAAATGCATTTGACTAGCTTCTTTTTCTCTTCCTTGGTTACTATCTTGGAGGACACCTGTCTTCCGAAGGAGGTGCACGTCGGCCCTTGAAGCCCTCTTTGGCAGCGTCGGCGGCATCTCGTCAATTAGAAGAAGAGGCTCTCAGGGTCGCGAGCGCCCTCGGGCGGCGACTCGACAAAGTGACAATTACCGAGCGCCACGCGGCGGCGGCGCGGGGAACCGGCGCGGCGCCTGGAGTCACGTGCGCTCTCGTGTTACATTTTCATTCGGCTAATTGCCTTTTCATCGAATCCCTTCGCGAATTCGGCTCTTTCCCTCACGAACGTTCCTCGTCGCGCCGATCGCACCCCGCCATCGCCTGGAGGGACGGTTAACGCTAAGAGGACCTAAGGGCCGGGGCCCTTATGTTGGGAAAAACTGCTTTATGGCGAGCCATGATTATACGGCTAGGGCTTTACGACTGTATGCAGCTTATGTTAGCTTCGACCGCGAACACGATATGGGAAACCAAAATAGTGTACACCGTAGGTGGCGCAGACCGTGGATCGAGTCGACTGCGGTTAGGCTGTGTAGTTAAGGGGGTGCGGTGGTAGTCGCTGCGTGTAAACGTGCACGCACAGAGGACGAAACCGGGGAACCTCGAGATTGCCCGAGAATTAACGTTTTCGATGGGACCGAACCACCCGACCTAACCTGAAAGGAGCCAACGCTTAGCCCATGTTGAAAACGTCGGTTTTCGCGGGATCACCAAAGTTAAGCAACGCTGCGTACGGTTAATACTTTGGACGGGGTGACCACCTAAGAAAAAACCATTGAACATGAAAATTGGCATCCACGAGATGAATTATCGTTCATGAAACTTCTCTCCGAACTGGATAAGCCGAATCGTTTCTTCACAATGTGAATATGGAGGACGTATAGGCGGTCCTGGCACCCATGAGACTTGATTTTTTTATAAAAAATTTTCTAAAATGTGTACAGATAAAAAAAATTGAAGTTTTAGGGCTCCCAGGTTTTTCTTGGTGGTTTACATGTTCACGTTGTAAAGTTGGAAACGATTCTGTAACGCCACCACCTTAACCCCGAAAGCGTTTTCGTTCGCCATTTTGCGTGAGTTTTTCACCTAGCCTTGCGTAATTCGAAAGAATAAGATCGTCGCCGTGTTTTCGGGTCCAAGGTAAATCCTCCTGGTGGTAAATTCCTTTATTCGGGTATTCTCACCTCATGGAGAGAACCCGGTCGTAAGTTTCGAGGGAGACCCGCGCCGGGGAAGAGGCAGGTTTCCGGTTCTCTGGAAGGGAGAGATACCTTCCGAAAATTAGGAGGACCGAAAAGAAGGAAGGCGAGTCTGGAGGCAGACGGCGGAGGGCCGGCATTCATCGCTTCCCGTGGTTCCTCTTGTACTCCCCCCCGTCCCCCGGCAAGTTTATTCAACTTCTTCTTTATGCGAGTGGACTCGATTATTTTCTCATTTCGCGAAATGTTTCCGTCCGCGCACCTAGACGAGCAGCCGGCTGGGTCCATGCCAAGACAATTTCGCCGGCGAGTACGTACCCCTCGTCCTTTGCGGATAATAAATGCAATCTTAATTTCCCCGTTCCCGTCCCCTCCCCTCCGTGGCCCTATAACTGCGGGGATTCCGCCGATTGAAACCGGGAGGAGCCCATCTTCGGGATCGCTATCACCGGGGACTTTGTTTCCACGTTTTAATTAACGCTACGGAACTCGAGACTCGTTTCTCGCGTTATCGGGAGGCATGGCCGAACCCGATATCTCGTTAAGCCGCGTCGGAGGACCAAGAAGAGGAAGAAGTTCCGAGGTGTCGCGGGAATCTCGCGTCCCCGGACGTTATGTAACGGGGATTAGGAACGTCTGGTGGATGTTGGGTCCCGACACCCTCGGGCTCCGGTGTCGCTCTCGAGGCAATCGCCTTGAAACCGCGTCTCTGCCTTCGACTCGAGGAAGACCCACGACTCTTCGCGGTGCGTTTGGCGAGCCCGACCACCTCGAGTAACCCGAGCTTCGTCGAGTTCTTCGTCGCGACGAGCCACGCAGACGAGAACTCGGCTGGAAGGAGAAGTCTTAGGATCGCCTTAAGCCACGGAGTCTTAGTTCACCATCTATGAGAAAACCTTGTTCGGGATGAAACTAGGAATAAATCCGAAGGAACGTCCTTCGCGCCATCTTGGTCTTCCAGGGGATCGCGAAATCCCCATTTCTATGATTTTCTCCCATGTAATAGGGACATGGTGTCGTCGAAGTAAGACGACTTTACCGTCCCGTCGCCTTCCCGCCCCGAAAGGGTCGCTTGGTAACGTTATTAAGCCGTAATCGAGCTCGGGACCAAACAATGCGGCGACTTACTCAACCAGCCGTCTCTCCTCGAATCGCCGCCCGGGGCTTCCGCAGGCCCGGCACCGTCCAAACTCGTGCACAAGGAACATCGCCACCGATTAGGGGAGCCCTCCAGAACGCACGTGCTTACGTCCCCTCGATCCACCGTGTAAGACCTAATGTGAGATTTATCACCGAGATGCAAAACGCTCGCTTTAAGGCCGACTCATCTCGGCGATTATTCCTCGTCGATCACCGGTAGACTCGTTAAACCGCGGGAGAGTCGCTTTGGGAGTCGTTGCATCCGAAAGAAATTAGTGAAAGATCGCCGGAAAGAGGAAACCGGCCGGGGAGGCGAATATTCCCGGCATTCAGGGGGACGGAATCAAGGGAAACGAGAAAGAGATATCGGGGGAGGGTTTACGAGATGAGTCGGATTTACGGAGAAACTTCCACCGACCTCCCTGGAAATTCTGCCGGCACGAGAGGGGAGGGCACTGATTCGTAAAGGGGGCGAAAACCACCGGATGGGGCAAAAAGGGAGTAAAGGGGAACCGGCCTCCATTACCAGTCAAGTAATCGTCCACGGAGAAATCGCCGAGGTTGCGTTTACATCGTGGGGCTACGGATTTCGAAATCCACCCCATTGTGCGCTGGCCGATGCATCGACGGTTTTGGGAACCGTTTGGATCCTCTACGGGTCGATCCTAATTCTGCAGAAATCGGACAAGTCCGCATCCAGCGATGTAATCGCACACCTGGTTAATGGACATCGTTGGCCAGAGGTTAATTGGATCCAGAGTACTCGCGAGTGCACTCGGGCCGATTCGTTGTACACGGTGGAAGGATTCCCCCAACGCTGGAGAGATTTCCATAACCCACCGGACGTCGACGCCTTGTCGGCCGAGCTGTCGCTGCAACCGGTGCAGCACCGAACTCGAATTTCGAATTTCACGGGTCACCTCCTCGAGAACTTATTATTCCGAGTGGGTCCCGAGGGAAGACGGATCTCGGACCGTCCCGGGGCCCTACCCTGGAAGCCCTTCCGGCACCTCTTCGTCCCCTGGAATGGACAGGTGAGGCGGTCGTCCAGGGATCCAAAGTTCGGCACTCCTTTTGGCCGATGCAGTCGTTGCACCTGCGAGCGGATCGGAAAATCGGCAGGTGGAAACTGCTTCGACTCTCCGGCGTCCTGTCGGAGGAAAGCGACGCCACATTAAACCAACTTATAGTCTCGCAAAACGGCTCGTGTAACGTAAACCGTACACCCGGGCACACATGGGACAACTCTTCTCTGACAGTACACGGGAAACGTGCAGGGCCGTTAATTGGGTACTGCCGTAACTCATTGCAAGTGATGTC